TGCCTTCTTATATAAAAAGTAACATCATAATTGTCATGTTCTTCTCACTCATCCTACAGGGGATGGTAATTTGTAAGTAAATGGTATTGAAGGAAATTTCTAATTTACCTAAGGAAGACAATTTCATAAAAACCAACAATCTTTGTTACCATATGACTTCAGTTTTCTTTTCAACATTTTTTGTTTACTTCCATTTATGTGATGATAGATACCATAATAAATGCAATTCCAATAATCATACATATGGGTGAGAAGAGAGAAAGAAGAATATCTCCTTCTGTAGTGAGTTTGAATTGTTTATATAGGGTGAAGGATATTTAGACTAAATTAGATATTCTTTTTAAAAATTTTTTAGTTGTAGTTGGACACAATACCTTTATTTTATTCATTTATTTTTTATGTGTTGCTGAGGATTGAACCCAGCACCTTGCACGTGCTAGGCGAGTGCTCTACCACTGAGACACAACCCGAGCCCCATCAATTAGATATTCTTACAGAAATAATTTTATTGTCTGATTTGGTTTATTGAATTCAAAGCTTTTTTTTATTGTTGGTTGTTCAAAACATTACATAGTTCTTGATATATCATATTTCACACTTTGCTTCAAGTGGGTTATGAACTCCCATTTTTAGCCCATATACAGATTGCAGAATCACATCAATTACACAGACACTAGTATGGCAATATGTAAATCAAAGCTTGTTTTTAACTTGGAAAATAAAACATTCATAAATATACTAACAAAGACACATAGGCACATCCACATTAATTTAGGAGTACTAATAATGTAAAAAATGTGGAAATATCAAGAAAAGAATATTAAAGTTATCTTAAAGAATCAGTGAAGCTAAATTTGAAGGAGAAATTTTTAAGGAAAAGAAGATCAAAATTCAGTGGGCAGGGGAAGGACAGGTACTGGGGTTTGAATTAGAATAAGATATATTCCATGCTTGTATATCAAATTGGCTGTACTGTCATGTATAACTAAAAAGAACAAATAAAATTAAATTTTAAAAACATTCAGTGACTCAGCACTGAAATATTAAATATCTGAGGGGCAGACAATGGAGAGGAACCTCACAATAACACCTAGAGTTGGAAGGGTGCACATCACAGGGCTGAGAAATCTGAACCACAGGGCCTGAGGCAGGTTTCCATGTGATGTCCTTTTCTCTAGGTTAATAATTGATAAAATATTTAAATTCTAACCATAAGTTCTAATTACTACATGTTTTTATTTTTAATTCTCTAGTCTACAGAATAATGAATCATTTTTAATTTATTATGCAATATAATGAAAACATTAAACCAATTTGTTCATTTAATATATTGCTGCTAGTGAGAAATTTTGTTTAAAAACTATATAGATATGATTCTTAGGCTATTCTTTTCCTCCTGCAGTATTTTGATCTTTCTTCAGAAACATTAACACTTCCATTTAACATATACTTACCGGGACAATGCACAATCGACCATTTAAATGTCCACTTTTCCTCTGAATTCTTGGTCTCCTCCAACTTTGCCAAATCTTTCTCCTCTTCCACCGCTTTCATGGTCAACACATTCTTTCATATTTTCTAATAAGCTACAACAGGAAAAGAAAGAAGTCACAGTAGAGCACCTGTGCTCTCCTTCTTAGGAGTTCTCTTAGTGGCTCATGTTTTACAAATTCAAGTCTTGTAAAAGATTGGTTGGTCTTCATCAGGAAAATTAGTATCAGTTTGGTCCCAAGGCTTTATGATGGATTTGTAACTTTTTGGTATTGGTGAATTAGATAATTATTTATCAGCTGTTACACAAAGCAGACTAGTTTCTACAACTCAGAAAGCCTGTGAGATAATCAGCCAGTATATTTTTTTTAATTTTCTTTAAAGCTATAGCTGAATCAAAAAACAGCAATAGTAAAATAGAAATTATGAATATTCCTTTACAATACCACACTATTTGAAAGATGATGGAAATTTTCCAAGACATTGTTTTAAATTTCCTTAGAAGTGAAAATGATATATAGAAGAAGGACTCACATGTCGTAGTTATTTTCCCTCATAAAGATGTAATTTTCCTCTTTCTTACACAGTTACCTCCATGACTTAGTACATTAACTAAAACAAAGTGACTGATATGCAATCTTGATTTATTCTACAAACCATCAGTATTCTTACAAAGAGAGATTGGAAAGGGATTAGAGATGGTAAATATATGCATATGCCAGACACAAAGAAGTAAAGGTAGGGATTTTATGGTTTAGTTTTTTTCTTATTGTAGGGGAAGAAAACAAAGTTCTTTTCCAAAGTTGCTTTTTATGAGCTAAGGATAGATTTTCCACTCTAGGTTTGAAAGTCAGCACTGTACAAGAAGTGGTCAGTTTTCCCCATCTGTTTATTATTGGCCAACATTTTTTTATTCTAATCTTTTTTTTTCCTTTCATATTCTTACCTAGTGCTTACGTTTTACTTGAATAATTCTTTTTACTTCTGTCCTTTCTGTGTCTGCCCATATTCCCTGTATATCATCTTCCCTATCTATCCTTGCTTATATGTGGATGACCTCATCCCTGGTCTTGGTCTCCTTACAATCACCAGCATAAATTTATGCGTAAATATTAGGCTATATTCTACTAAATCAAGTCAGCAAATAAGTCTTAAAGTATCTCTGTTTTACCAATTAACTCTGCTTTGCTAAATCAGATTATCATTGATATAGAAAAGTAAATCCTGTTTCCTAAAAAAATATTTTTATTCTAAAGAGAAATTCATTAGGGAAATCAGTGTGTCAGGGGATTGACCCTTATCTTAGACCCTAGGGGTACAAACAAAGATTGTGACTTGGTTTCTTTGACTGGACCATTGGGATGGTAAATCCCAGTGTGTATATTAAAGACTTTCAAGGACTTGTCCTGGTTAGAAACTAACAAAAAAAAAGCCATAAACATCAGAGGATTAATATGATCATAATGAATCCATAGTTTGATCATCACTGAGGAAAAATGCATTGATCTTGTTTTCCAGAAAAGGAACTGTTTGTCTTGAATTACTTAAATTTTTTTTTCCACAGATCTTCATCCTGCTTAAGACTAAAATTTGAGAAATAATTTGTCAAGTAATCTAATTGGGGGATTAAAGAAGGGATTAAATAGTAAAACAAACAATGTGTCTTTGCCTGAATAATTTGCTTCTTTTTACGTTTTGGAAAAAAAAAAATTGGTTCTTTTTAGTTATACATGACATAGAATCCATTTTGATATAAAAGCATTGAACATATCCTATTCTAATTCAGTTGCCAGTACCTTCTCTTCCCTCCCCTTGCCCTACTTTCTGCTCCCTTCCTTCTACT